CTGCAGTTTACACTCAACTACAGGCCAGGACTCTGCAGTTTACACTCATCTACAGGCCAGGACTCTGCAGTTTACACTCATCTACAGGCCAGCGGTTACTCTTCCAGGGATGAAGATGTTCTCATCTTTGATAGAGACGAACATTGGTTTGAGAGAGGAGTAAAGGAAGACATGTTTGTGAAGAGAAACTGTCGTTAAACAGGTGGAGGTCTCCGTGTCCAGTTGTCCTCCTATAATGCTGTTAATACGAGTGGCCATCAGGAACTTAACTATCAGTCCTCTTTTGCATGCGATCAACCAGTTTCAATTGTCGTCAACTTGTTTGTCCACCATGTGGAGGCACTGCTTATACAGCTGAATTTACCTGTAACTCCTCAGAATGAAGAAGTCTTTTGGAGAAGAGATGCAATATTTCAACAAAGAACTCATCCAGAGAACCGACTCCATTTTWAAATTTTTTTTTTTACGTTTTCTACATGAATTATTGAGATATTCACAGATTGCAGAACTGCATTCTAGGAAAAGAGCACGATTTTAATGCCCACATCGTAACCACCTCGGCCCACTTTGTACCTGCTGTCCCCATGTTTTTGTCCCATGCAGGTGTCGAATAACAGCTCTAGTTCTCTCAAATTTATGAACACTAAATGTAGGAAAGTTCAAGAAGGGTTATAGATACCCAAAATAACTCTGACAATATGAAGAGGAAACTTGTGAACATTTTTTTTATTGTGTTCAAATTCAATGAAGGACTCACTCAAGGAAACCGAGAACCTCCGTAAACATTGAGACATTTTTACAGCCTGGTGAGATACTACCTTGTTGCACAGATTAGCATAACTATAAACATTAAAAGAGACATATGCTTTTAAAATTGTAGTTGCATTGCAAATACTTTGACGTAATAGTTCAGAAAACCTCAAAGAAAATAGAGAAAACTGAACAGGTTAAAAAATATGATCTACGCAGCACCGGGACAAACTAAATGTACATTTTCTGAACTCCTAGAGACGCCTAGTACACAACAAAAGGCATTTAATGGCTAAAAAGGTGCATTTTTCATGATATATCTCCTTTAACTGTTCATTCAAAGTGTGTACATTTTACATGTAATTTTTTTTAAAGCACTGAAGCTCCTGGAAGAAAACCTCGACTCAATTAAACATGTTGTAATCTCTGTTTTGTCTCAGGGTTGTGTCATTGACAAATACTGCCCACGGCCTGTATAAAGCCGTGAGGAATGTTGGCATAAAGATGTTTGACTGAATGTTGTCATTTACTGCAAGGATGAACCAGATGATTTTATATTTCACCTTCTAACAGAACCGATGTGAGGCTCTGTACTTAAATCCAAGCAGTCTTTGTGTAACGGTTGAGGAGGATTCATAGAAATCGTTTGCTTTCGCTTCTCGGCAAGGACAAATTTTAAAATGCAGCAGCAGCAGCAGCAACCAGCCGAAAGCTGAAAGGAAGGGCACAGATATTGTTCATGCAGCACAGTGATAAAAAGGCAGGCTGTCATTAGAGAACACGTTTAACTGACCCAACTCTGCAGAGCTTATTTACAGTAAACTCTGAGTACATTTAAAGACCCATTTTCACTGAAGGCTTTAGTCCACTTTCAGAACACCGATCTTCTCTTCAGGTGGTTACAAACGTGAGCACTAAGCCATTCTGTAAAATAAAATAACCAAAAAGTCACGCCACACGATCTACTGGACCATTGAGCAGATATACCAGCAGAGGTAAAGCTGGAATAATTCGCTCTCAGACAGCATTAACCCTCCTGATTTAACTTGTTTAAGGATATCACAGCTCTTCAGCTGAGCCTGTAATCCTGCAGAAAAAGCTGCGTTTTCTAAAACCAGCTCCTTTCATTCCCTGCCCTTTAGTCAACCTCAAGTAAACACACTTCCATAAAACTGGAATAAGCTTCAAGGACAGTGTTAGAGGCGATTTTAATACAGGTCTGAAGGCAGGAGATCAGGTTCTGCAGAATATTTTAAGCCTCCAATAGAGTCAGACATTAGACAGATTGACTGAGCTTTATTGTGGCACTTTGGGCCAAACCAGGTTTAATGGGTTCCATTTGTCAGCGGCTAATACTGAAAAGACAAGAAAAAGGCCCCAAGAAAAGCAGATGGCTTTTTATTGTCTTGGTACAAATGTAGAACCAGCATTGACCTCTGTTTGTTTTAAAACTCAGCTTTGCTCGAAAACATTTTGAGAGATTGAAGATATTCGTAAAARTCCTTTACAGACGTCCTGACATCCTTCAGCCACTGCAGTAAATACAGATATGCTCTGTAACTTGTGAATTGGAGATACTGACCGTAACAACACAAGCCGGCCGGCCCATCTGGTTGCTCTGAAGCTAAACTCATTACTTGTCCTTTCTGCTTTCATGCAAATGACATGAAGCGTGTGGAGTCCATATGTGACTGCTGGACTGATGGCTCAGTTTATACTTCTGAGTTTTTATGAACAGATGACAGAGGACAACTGTTTACTGTGCATCTCTCTCTGTTTCTACGACACTTGAACCGTAAGCCTGCCACGATACATTTTTCTGAACAATAGTTTGTCTCAGAAAATATCGAGATAAATGATAATATTGTTTATAAAGCTTACAAGTTTATGAAATTTACATAAATAAAAAAAATGTTATAAATTGACCTGGATTGGAGATTGGGAGAAGAACACAACTGAAAAGAAATCACTTCCATCTTTATGGGGTGCCGTTTGTAAAGTTACGTAGTCAAAATTACCACCAATATTTTTGTTTTATTTAGCCTTTTATAAGAAAAAAAGAACTGATTTATTTTTCAAAGTCAGTTTTTCACCATATGATTCATACATTTATAAATGCCATAGTTTATAAACTAAATATTTAACTTACAAATTCAATATTGAGTTAACAAGCTAAATATTTAACTTGTGACTTAAATATTTAGTTTTGAGCTAAATGTGTAGCTTGAAACAAAAATATTTAGCTAGCTACCTAAATATTTAGGTTGCAACTTAAATATTTAGGTAGCTTTAACTTAAATATTTAAGTTGCAACTTAAATATTTAACTTGCTAGCTAAATATTCAGGTTGCAACGTAAATATTTAGGTGTCTAGCTAAATATTTAAGTTTCAAGCTAAATATTTAGCT